AAACCATGAAATAAATTATTATGGTACAAGAAACCTAAGTAGACTGTACACTAATTTATACCCAACATCTCATTTCACTGCCTTGTTGTTGGTACAAGATGTTTAATATTTAGCATTTAGTCAGACATCCAGAAAGTAGTCACGTTATTTCCATTTCTGTATACAGGAAACAAATTAAACAAAAGAAACCTGATCCATGGTATTAAATAGGGGAAAGATCAATGGGCAGAAGGTAAGGACACCAAGGTTCTGTTCTAGCTCTCAAACTAAATCCACTGTGTCAACTCGAGACACATGGCTGCCCAGGATCCAGATTTCCTCATCTGTAAACCTGACTGGGAGTGATTTCTACCTGTGTTCAACAGACACTGAGAGGTACTTCAGAGGCCCCCAAGAAGGCAAATGAGTAGCTGAGTGTGCAGCCTCCCCTCCTCCACCATACCTATCCTATTTGGAGAAGCTCTATTTCATTATCCTCTATATCAGAAAACTTTATAAGATTTCCTTTAGGCTACAGGACAATCCACACCTTCACCCCCACCACCCAGGAAAAAATACTGGTCTAGATGCTTTCTAAGGATCTTATCCCTTAGAGTTCAACTGTCTGATTTCCAAAAAAACGATAATACAAGTTGATAGCTGTGTGGATCTACAAGTTAATATCACTCTATGATATTAAAGAAAAATTCACAAAAGCACAAATGACAGTTAAGAATTCCAGGGGAAGGCTCGGCGCCTATAGCTCAACCAGCTAAGGCGCCAGCCATGTACACCTAAGGTGGCGGGTTCGAATCCCCAGCCCGGACCCACCAAACAACAATGACGGCTGCAACCAAAAAAAAAATAGCCGGGCATTGTGGCGGGCGCCTGTGGTCCCAGCTACTTGGGAGGCGGAGGCAGGAGACTCACTTGAGCCCAGGAGTTGGAGGTTGCTGTGAGCTGTAATGCCACGGCACTCTACCCAGGGAGACAGCTTGAGGCTGTGTCTCAAAAAAAAAAAAAGAATTCCAGGGGAAAACTTAACTTTCATTCCAGAAATAACCTTTATTGGTTGGATGAAGGCAACCAAAGCTCTTAGCCAATAATCAAACATCTGCAAGTACTACTTTAGCTTCACCTAAAAGTTTTAAGGAACAAATATTCACATATCACATGTATTAAAAAAAATTATTTCTTCCTGTTCCTTCCTGCAACATCAACAAATTGCAAACACACACACTCTGACAACTAAACTCTACATAGCTCAGTGCATAGGGGTTGCGGCAATTTTCACAAGACTCCCTGACCTCAGTCAGTGGCACCAACCCACATGACCAGCAAGTACCTGTATTTGACAGTTTTACTGCTGCCTCATGGTGTGCAATGTGGGAACTTGGATGATGAACAAAGAATTGGGTTGACTCTTCTTTAGAGACTGTAACAGAGCAAGGTGATGTACAAAAATGATGGCCCACGCTCTATATAGTGTATTGGGTTTTCCAAAATGCATATCATGGTTTGCCGTGACTCTTGAAATAAATCAACTCACTGGATGTTTCTGTTTAATGTTATTAAGGTCAGGATTTTTTCTCTGAACTTAAATATCAATAAAGTAATACTTGATGTCTGTTTTTATTATTTTATCTAACAAAGTAAGAGAATTTTTAATGAATGTTTTGTTTTTCTTTTATAAGCCTTATATATGTGCATATATGTCACAGAGTAAACTGTTATTTCTTACTGGGAGCTGTGGAAAAAAACTGAATAGCTCTACTTTGGTAGGTACTGACAGCAAGAAAGGAAGCTTAATTTGGCTTCAAAATAAAGAAAAAGGTGGGGGGAAGGGGACTCTTCCCCAGTATTTCTGTCTTAGATACTGTGCTTGACCTTAATCCACCCAGCAAGATTTGGTGAGGAATTTCATCTGTTTTCTAGATGAAGGGAGTTTAAGTAATCTGTCCAAAATCTCAGCTAAAAAAAAAAACAACAGATTTTTAATTCCAACCTGATAGTTAGCTCACAGTTTCTTAGCTAGGGGTGAAATGGAAATTTAGAAACCCAATTTCCTAATTTAGATTGTTTAAATCTAACTTTAGAGAAAGAGGCTAATATTTATTAAGCAACCCCCCAACCCCTCCCCCCCAACCTTGTTCTGTATTAAGCACTGTATTAAGTGAAAACTTCTTTTGATTTTTCATGTTTACATGGATGGAGCTGGAACATATTCTTCTTAGCAAAGTATCTCAAGAACGGAAGAAAAAGTATCCAATGTACTCAGCCCTATTATGAAACTAATTTATAGCTTTCATATGAAAGCTATAGCCCAATTATAGCCCAAGAATATGGGGAAGGGGGAGAGGGAGGGGAGGATGGGTGGAGGGAGGGTGATTGATGGGACCACACCTATGGTCCATTTTACAAGAGTACATGTCAATCTTTCTAAATGTAGAAAATAAATGTCTTAACACAATAACTAAGAAAATGCCATGAAGGCTATGTTAATCAGTTTGGTGAAAATATTTCAAACTGTATATAAAACCAGCACACTGTACCCCATGAATGCATTAATGTACACAGCTATGATTTAATAAAAATAAAATAAATAAAAATCTTCAAGCAAAAAAACAAACTTCTTTTATTTCACACAAAATTCTTATGACAGACATGTATGATAATGGTCCTATTTACTGAAGGCTTTGAACAGTTCAGTAACTTACCCAGAGTCACACAAACATTATCAATGCAAACCCATATTAAATAGCTAAATGTAGTTTTATTTACATTCCTACACATATTTAGGGAAAATACCTAATAAAATAACTTTTCCCCTCAAAGTACTGCAGTCAACTAGCTGAAATCTCACTTTCTCATCTATGAAATGAAAATGAGTTCAGATGCCTAAGTAGAACTTTTTCACTTTCAGCACTCCCTGGTTCTAAAATGTGTCATTCATTTGCCAGGTAAATAAGACAGCCTGTGTAATTGTACTATTTCAGCGTCCCGGCTACTGACACTATGTGGCTGGCTCATAAAGACTTAGAACCCTGCTTTCTTGAGTTCCCGCCCATTTAGCAATTTGCTGATTACAGGTTGAGTATCCCTATCCAAAACACTTGGGACCAGAAATGTTTCAGATTTTGAATTTTTGAGTGGAGGGGGGATTTTGGAATATTTTAGGGATAGGATTGAAGTCTAAACATGAAATTCATTTATGTTTCATATGTACTTTGTACACATAGTCAAAAGGTAATTTTATAAGATATTTTTAATTATTTTGTGCATGGAACAAAGTTTATGTCAAGTTCTTATGTGTGGAATTTTCCACTTGGGGACATCATGTTGGCACTGAAAAAGTTTCATTTTGGATTTCAGATTTTTGGATTAGCAATGCTCAAGCTGTATAAGAATCTACTCTAGATTATAATCACTGTATTTGAAACATGTTCAGTGCTCAATATTTACAAAAACCAAGTCCCTTTAAAAACATTATGCTGGTGACTTAAAGACTGGGGTTTATACCCTAATGGGATTTTTGTTTGCAAGACTTATTTTCTTCTTCTATTGACCTGTATGACTATTGTCCATGAAGTCTTAATTCTGGGGTGGGGTACTCAGGGGCAAAGGAGGGAGCAGATTTTCTATTTCTCTCTGCTGTAAAGTTAGAGATGAGTATGTGAAGCGCAGGACAGCAGACCGTGAAAAGCTGTGGGATTTTTATAAATATGCATATAGTCTAAGCAGGTGACTGCTTTGGTGGAATTTTGGACATTTAAATTCAGGTGAGGTCTAGTTCATTTTCTTAGTGCAATGTAAGTGTCCAATATGTAGTCTTGTCAGCTTCAGATAATTTATAGTATCTATATCTTGCGGAAAACCTTGCAAGCCAAAGGATCTTGGGGATATCAAATTTCTAGTTTTCCTACCCTTTTGCAATCCTTTATTCTCAGCATTAAGCTTAAGTTATTGTAGAATTTGGTCTGAATGGGCTTTGGTTACAATTGCGCAATTTCCATATCCTACCCCACTTGTATAAAGGAAATTCTGTCAACATCTTCACATTACATTTTTTTCCTCCAAAAAATACAAGACTCGAATTGGTCTGTGAACAAACTCAGAGTTGACCTTTCCTGACATCTGAGAGGAAAGAGCACCTATTCCTAAAGGGTTTGTGGGGTGGGGTGTGAAATGAAATAAAACAGGGTGGAACTTCCGAGGGAATTTACAAGTCCTGTTTGCAAGACCACACCTACACACTAATTTGAAAAGGGCTGAAAGAATCTGTACATTCTGTCTCTCAGCTTTACTTTCCTACTTGGTTTCCCTCACGCACACTTCTGTCGCATTTCCAAGACATACACAAAACCATCCTTTCCAAAGCAGAAAGGTGACTGGTGTGGAGGTTGAGGAAGAAGGTGGTAGGTGGTTGGGCACCTGATAAGGAGATAATGAGCAAGGGGTAAAGTTAGGGAGCTGAATGGACACAAAGAAAGTACAAAAGTAGCACTGATGACGGTTAGCAAGGAAGCACAGGTCGTGGTCCTGTACAACAGATTAGGAAACACGCCCAACATTCCCTTGTATACTGAGGACACGTTATAACCTCCCAGGAAATAAATGCACTTCCAGCCCAATATGGTTGTCACCATATCTAAAACCCAAAAGCAAGTATCAGATGAAAGGAAAAATTAAGAATCTTAAGAACGGTGCTTTGCCCTTATCATTTCGGCTTCAGAGATCAAGACGTGCCTAATGACCTGCAGGACGGGGGACTCAAAGGCTCCAGGTTTCTTTCTCAGTTGCACCTGTTTCAGAAGCGCCTCGGCAACTAGAGGAAAACAACAGGTTCCCACAGGCAGAAACTCGATCCCATCCCCGCACCTCCTGGCACCCAAGCCCAGCGCTACAGGAGCGCGGCCCAGGCCTCCACTGCCCTGCCGGCCGTGGCCAGCACTGCTAGGTCAGGTAACAATGGCTTCCCGTCTCCTCGGGCCCAGGATGGGTCCTATTTTTTCACGGCTCACCTGCAGGGAGCCAGGCGAAGAGCAGCAGCCAAGGTGCGGGCAGTTCGGAGCCCATGCCCGCCCCTCTCTAGCCCCCTTCAGCTCAGAGGCGTCGGGGCACAGCGGCCTTTCTTCATCGGCTGCCGCCACTGCACGCACTTTCCCTAGGAATCCCTCAGCTTTCGCGTCCCCCGGGCCGTCCCCACCTGCGGCTCCGCCCCGCCCGCGCCCCTCGGCTTCCTGCCCCGCCCCGCCTCCCTCCCTCCGCCGCCTCAGGTGCGGGCTGCCAGGTGATCCTCCGGGTCCCGCCGCTCACCCCGCCCGGGGACGGGGACTGTCACTGCTGTCTCCAGAAGTTCCTGGAAAGCTCACCCTTTGCAAATTTATCCCCCTCTCTTTCCTGAGTTACACAACCATTCACTCAGAAGTGCTTGGGAGACAGTTTTGTTTGTTTTTGTTTTTTTCACTAAAAGCTCGGTAATGTGACGTTTACACGTAATGTCTGTTCAGGTTTTCCAGACACTTAAGATGAGTTTAGGGAGATTAACTTGGCACAATCACGAAAGTAAGGGATGCTTATTACAGAAAACAGCTGTTACACCATAGACCAGTGTTTCCCAACCTTTTTTATCTCATGGTACACTTGAATTTATGGCTAAACTTATATGGCACACTTTCATTATGTTGATTTTAAAAAAGAGTAAAAAAAAGAATATATTTACTGTGCTTTGAATTGCTTTTGAAAATAATTTAAGTAATGAATGATCTTTAAAAATTTTCACGGCACACCGCTTGAAAATCACTGGCATGGACCCTCACCTAGCTGTGTTTCAGTCTGTGTTTACAGCTAGCTGACTTTATCAGTGTGTGCTCATGCAGTTTTTTTCCCTATATATTCTTTACCTCTATATAAAGGAAAACTCAACTCCACAGGACGGGGCTCTCAGTCATTCTTCCAATATGTGCCATTGGTTCAGTAAAGATTTGATAAGGGGCCGGGCCTCATGCCTGTAATCCTAGCAGTCTGGGAGACCCTGGCCGGTGGATTGCCTGAGCTCATAGGTCAGAGATCAGACTGAACCAGAGCAAGACTCTGTCTCTAAAAATAGTCGGGCATTATGGGGAGCCTGTAGCCCCCAGCTACTTGGGAGGCTGAGGCAAGACAATCGCTTGAGCCCGATAGTTTGAGGTTGCTGTGAGCTATGATGCCAGAGCACTCTGCTGAGGGCAACAAAGTAAGACTCTGTCTCAAAAAAAAAAATTAAAAAAATTAGATAAAGGATATATTTGGCTCACAACAGCAGTTTTTTTTATTGCTAAAACAAAATAATCACTTGACCTACTGATAGTGACTGAGACAACGGTCCTTACACACAAGGTAATAATAATAGCTCCCATTTATTAAACGTTTACATTGTGCTAGGCACTACTCTAAACACTTTTTGTATTAACTTTAAGAATTCTGTCAACAACACTATGAGACAGGACTATCACTGTCCCCATTTTACCCATGAGGTGCAAAGGTTCAGTAACTTACCCAAGGTGCTTATCTTGTAAGTAGCAGACCTAAGATACAAACTCAGGTAATCAAAGCACAGACCCTGAATCACTACCCTAACTATATTGTGCTGTTGTGTGTTGACTGAGCCAGGGTCTGGCCACAAATTATAAAGCTGTGATTTCACGATTTATTATTTCCTAGTTGAAACTGTGTCCATGAATGTTTCTAAATACTGTGTGTTTTCAAATACTATGTATGTACCTCTGATTTGCAAATAATGTAATATTTGTACATATTTATCAAGAATGGAGAAGAAGATTTATTGGACCCAAAGAAAAGAAAATGAAAAATCATGCACCAGGCACTTAGAGATAAAGAGAGGCAGGAGATGAGTAGCTAACTGATGCTAGAAGATTTGGACTATGCTTTATGCAGTTTTGTATGCTTAGCATCTAGCATGGTACCTGGAATAAAGACTGATAAAATATTTGTTGAGCTCTTTACCAATAATTCCTGAAGGAAGTGACATCTGCTCTGGGTTTGAAAATGAATTGACTTTGCCAGAGCAATCCAAGCACAGAAACCAGCATATACAAAAATCACAGCACCAGAAAACAGTCTAGCTGAACAATAAGCTCTTTAGTTTTGCTAGGTTATTATGGCAGAGAGTGAGCCAGGACAAATAAAGAGCCTTGTATGACCAGCTGGAGAGTAAGACTTCATACAGTAGACAATGGGGAGCCAATGAAGCATTTTAAACTGTGTGAGTCATGATGAGGAATTTCAAAAGATAAACTTGGGAGCAGTGAGAAAAATTGTAGGTGGGAATTGAGACTAGTTAAGAAACTTACTGTATTGAAGGTGAGAGATAATGAGGCTCCAAGCCAATCACTGGGCTTGGAAATGGAGAAGATTTTGGCAGATGTTTAGAATGTAGAACTGACAAGATTTATAATCAATTATTGTGAGGATTTAGAGTAGTTTCTGATCAATTATTGTGAGGATTGAGAGTAGTTCCCTGGGTGGAGAGGGATGCACTTAAAAAACCTAGATATACATAATAGAAAGAATAACAGGTTTTGAATCACTTCAGACACATTGCACCAGAGAGAATAGTGGAGTAGGACCAGCCACATAAATCTCCTATGGGTGGTTGGGGATGGTTAAAGGCAGTTGGTTGGCTGAGGCTGGTAGGAGCTACATACCTGTGCAGGGAAGTCTGTGTCAGTGGGCATGGGACACCTACTTCTTGGTTAGTGGGATATAACAAAACAATTCACTTTGGAGTAAAGCTAAAAGCAGGAGGTGATGGAATCCAATGAAAAGAGTTTGAGAACAAGTATGTTCATTGTTACCACTCCTATTCAATATTATACTAGCTATTTTTGTTTGTTCGTTTTGAAATTACATTTGTATTAAAAGTCTTAAACTGAATATTCTAACCAATACAATAAGAAAATAAAACCAAAAGGCTGAAAATGAAGAATAAAGATGCTGTTATTCACAGTATTATGATTACACAGAATAATAAAGAACCTCCACATTATACGTGAGAACTACAACAGAGGTTGCTGGAAACAAGACCACCATATTGTCATTGACATTTGTATATACCAGCGACATACTAAAATACACATTGGCAATAGAAATAAATCTGTAAGGGAGAAACAAATCCAACGATATATGTGGAATGGTTTAATGAATAAAATTGTAAACAGTTACTAGGAACGTTTTCTAAAAGACCTAAATAAATGCAAAGATACATTATATTCTTGGATAAGAATACTTGGTATCACTAAGAATGATTCCCAAATTAATAAATTCTATATATTTCTAATAAGAATCTGAAGATTTTTCCTAGAATTTCACAAACAATTTTTAAAATTAAATGGAAATTACAAGATGGTAAATAGCAAAGACACTTGTGAAGAAAGGAAGGAGAGAATTTGCCCCATCAGACTGAAAAATTAGCTAGAGCAGTGAAAACAGTGTATCATTGGCACATGGACAGACAAACAGAAAAATGGAACATAAAAAGATTCAGTAAGTAGATAGCCATATAGATGGTGACTTGATATATAATTCAGCAGGACAACCATAAACTGTTTAGTAACTAATGCCGGGACAACTGGCTTTTCTTTTCTTCTTTTTCTTTTTTTTTTTCCTTTTTAATTATTTATTTATTTAATATTTTTTGAGACAAAGTCTCACTCTGCAACCCCAGGTAGAGTATGGTGGTGTCATCACAAATCACAGGAACCTCAAACTCCTGGACCCAAGGGAGCCTCCTGCCTCAGCCCCCAGAGTATCTGGGACTATAGGCACCAGCCATAGGGCCAGGCTCATTCTTTATTTGTAGTAAAGACTAGAAATATAAAATTAACGCTCTCACTCTTGCTCAGGCTGCTCTCAAACTCCTGAGCTCAAGTGAGCCTCTGCCTTCGCCTCCTGGAGTGCTAGAATTACAGGCATGAGCCACTATGCCTGGCCAATTGGCTTTCCTTATGTTAAAAAACAAACGGTATCCCTTCTTCACACAACATACAAAGTAAATTCCAAACTAATTTAAATCCAAATGTTAAATTTAAAAATTTCAAGTATTTAAAAGAAAATATGGTAGAATACTTATGCGATGTTGAAGAAAAGAATAAAATTTTAAACAGAAAATAAAAAGAATAATTCGTTAACGAAGACTCATACAGAAGACAGTTATGACATAATAAGATATTTGTACTTAGGCTCCCCCACCCCTATCCTGGCACACAGTTCCTGAAAATCTTGGCATCTCTGCAGTGATGGGTGTATTTTTGCATTCTAATGAGATAGCCCATGGCTGGGAGCTACTGGCTGCTAGGAAAACCAAACATGTGACTACAGGGTTGGAACTTGAAGCTCCAGCCTCTGACCTCCTAGGAGGTAAAAAAGCGAGTCAATCATGCCTATGTAATGAACCCTCCATAAACCCCCAAAGGATAGAGTTTGGATAGCTTCCAGGTTTGCTGAGCATGTGAAGGTGCCAAGAGGGTGGTGCACCTGGAGAGGGTATGGAAGCTCCACACCCATTCCTCCATACCTTGACCTCTGCATCGCTTCCATCTGGCTCTTCCTGAGTTGTGTTCTTTATAATAAACTTGTAATCTAGTACATAAACTGTTTTCCTGAGTTCTGTGAGACATTCCAGGAAATTATTGACCCCAAGGAGGGGTTGTGAGAACCTCCAATTTATAGTCAGATAGTCAGAAACACAAGTGACAACCTTGACTTGCAATTGGCATCTGAAGTTGGGAGAGGCAGCCTTGTGGGACTGAGCCCCGGTGTGATATGATATCTCCAGGTAGACAGTATAAGAATCGAGTTAAATTATTGGATGTCCAACTGGTGTCCTCCAAGTTGTGAAGAATTGCTTGGTGTGGGGGAAAATTTTCCACATATCTGGTATAAAAAATACTGTGTGGAAGTATAGAGAAAGAAAAATAGCTTGTATAGAAAGGAAAAAGTTCTACAAAGGAAAACACAAAATTTAAAAATCAAACCACAAACTAGGAAAAGAGAGTTACTGTGTATTAAAAAGGCAAAAAGGGCTCGGTGCCTGTGGCTAAAGCAGCTAAGGCACCAGCCAC